TGATTATTGCATGTTTTTGTATTTCTTATCTTCGGATAAGAAATACAAAATGTATTTGGGTATATTTGTCGAAGAAAAGTGTTAGCTAGATTAATATAGCTTTTGCTTTGCCATAGAGTATGCATATAATCATTTATTAACAACTTAAAGTCGGAATAAGGGATGGGTATGTCTGATATTAATTGACTGTGGGCTTCTAGCACTAGAGCGTCAACTTTTTCATCACCTGATATTACGATGTGACTTGGAATCCAGAGGAATTAAGTATCACATTGGTTTTGCGTCATAAAATGAATTTTTGCTTTGATTACTCTTACTAAATCATTTTTTGTTTCGTACTGACTGACGGTCGTTGCACATGGCAATGAGTTCGTTATTAAGGCAAAACTTTTATTTGTCTCAGAATTTAAGAAATCCAGAGCCAAATTTATTGCATATAGTTCTGCAGTTTAAATTGACACATTGTCTGGTTGGTGTTATTCAATTGCATGGTCATTAACTAATGCTGCTGATGTTGTTGATTCTTGCAATTTAGACCCATCAGTATATATGATTGTTGGGTTGTTATGTTTCTGCAGAAATTCATGAACCGTTACTTTGATGATGTTTTGATCTTTCATTTTGTTGAATTTAGTTAAACTAGTGTTGACTTCAGTTTGATGTAGACGCCAGTTGGGAATTAATGGTAATGGCTTCTCAATCACGATAATATCAGTTACCAGATTTGACAAAAAAAAAATTATTAGTCTAGCTTACCATAATGGAAGAAAGTTTATAAAATCTATTTGGGTTTGGATAAAAAAACTATTTCTTATGATTTGAAAAAAAAAATTTTGAATTTTGAAGTTTTCGTTTTTTTCTTTGTCTAATTTTTTCCGTGCGATATCACATTTTAATGCTTGGTCGGTGATGTAAGAATGAGATGAAATGAAAAAAGGTCATCAAAGTTCATTAGTAATGAACAATTTTTCATTTATTCATTCATTTGTTCATTCACTCCACTCATTCATAGGTTAATTCATTCATTCATTCATTCCCTCGTTTATTTATTTGTTAGTATGTTTGTAGTTCGTTCATTCACTCGTGTCGTTAAATAGTTCGTTTATTCGTTCATTCGCTGATTTAATTTTCATTCACTCATGCATTCATTCATCCATTTGTTTATTCGTTCTTCCATTCTTTGTTCGTTCGTTTATTCATTCATTCATCTAGTGTATATTGCTCAAGAATGAATTCTTTTATTTCAGATGTTCTTTTTAATGTAATGTTTAACGTACCGTTAATCAACTAAATCATTTGTCTGTGTGTGTGTGTGTGTGTATATATATTTGTCTATCTATCTATCTATCTGTGTGTTTGTGTGTGTGTGTGTGTGTGTGTGTGTGTGTGGGTGGGTGTGTAATATGCGCGTGTGTATTTGTACGTGTATCATGTCCTGCTTGTGTTTGCGTGTGCGTGCATGCATAACAACACATTGAATAGCAAGCATCATTGTCATCAAAAAACATCAAATAGCGTTAGTTATTTTAAATTTACATAAATAGCATCAAATTACACCAAATTATATTACATTATATTACATTATTTTACATTACATTACGTGACACAATACAACACAACATAACATACCAGGACTTTAGATGGCATCGCAAAACATTAAAAGACCTTAAATTCGTCTAATCTTCCAACCTCAATTAATCACTGTGCACTCCGACTTTGCCGTTTTAAACTAATCTACATAAATACAAACATTTATACAACTACATATACAAAACAAATATACAAACATACAAAATAATTATTTGTATACAAAATAAACTAACATACGATGCAAGAAAACAATACAACTTTCGTACTTGCATAAGAACATACACACAGGTTTTGTTTTGACACATGTGTAGAAATATACAATTATTTTTGTTTCACAGATACAAAGCCACACAATCCAAATTTACCTCCACACAATAATAAAAGCACAGTGAAACGTTTTAAAACTTGTTAGGAAAAAAAGAATGATTTATAGGTATACTAAAACATTAATGAGATGTTGACCAATACAATAGGACTCTGAATGCTAACACAATGTAAAAAATAAATATTTCTATTGTCAGTACCTTAATACAAGTACCTTATTAAAAGTACTTTAATATTGTATAACTTGTTTGTACTTGGTATTTAACGGTATCCCTTGTACAAAATACAAACATACTTTAAAGGTAGGTAATGTATGTATGTATAAATGTGTGTGTGGGTGTTTGTATGTTTGTTTGTTTGTATGTATGATTGATTGTTTATTTGTATGTATGTATGTATGTGTGTATGTATGTATGTATGCATGTATGTTTGTATGTTTGTTTTAATGTGTGTATGTATGGATGTTTGTTTGTTTGTATGTATGTAAATTAAAATGAATTTGGGTGTTTAGCTCTTTTTCCTATCCTTCGCTCGTTTATGAAATAATAAATCATTGAATTGGAACGGTGAATGAATGAATGAATGAATGAATGGATGGATGAATGAATGAATGAGTATGTGATTGATTGATTGATTAAGATGAATGAGTGGACGATTGAATGAGTGATTGAAGGAATAAATCAACAACCAAACAAACGAACAAACAAACAAATAAACGAATGAATAAATTAGTGAATGACTGAATAGACTAGAGGTGGGATTGAACGAATGAATGAATATAAAAGAAATGAACAGACGGACGGACTGATTACCAAATGAATGAAGTAACTAAAAAAATGAATGAATAATTCGTTCATTCATTCATCTAATCAATCAGCCAATCAACTACAAATGACTATAAAACAAAATAAAATAAACGAGCTGTTGAACGAAAGAGTGAATAAGCAAATAAAAGAATGAAGTAAGAGAAGAACGAAAGAATGAAGTAAGAGAAAAACGAATAAACTTAAACAAGAAAGAATGACTAAACAAATACATCTACCAGATTTTTATTTCAACTTTTCAATCTAAAACCAAAAAGCAACGCCTCTACTTGGTTCAATAATTTATTTAACATTATTATAACGACACGATAAATATTAACAAGTCGTAATTATATTGTATGCGAGCATGTATTTATGTGTGTATGTACGTGTGTATATGTGTATGTTTATGTATGTGTGTGTGTGTGTGTGTATGTATTTAAAGTAAGTATATAGATATATTTGATCACCGATACATAAGTTCTCTTCAATGAAACTACATACATGCGATGATGATGATGATGATAATGATGATGATGGTGGTGGTGTACTGCTGATGAGTATGATGATAAAATGATGAGGAAGAAGAAGATGACGATGGTGGTGGCGATAGTGATGATGATGATGGTTATATCAAGATGGATAGGATAGTATAAGAAATTATACTAATGATAAAGATGATACCAATAATGATAATGAAAGTGATTGATTATAAAAACCTTAAAGATTGAGATGGTGACGATGATGATTGTTTCGACTGCTCGTTTTAATACTGGCACACGACCGCTCATTGCAAATAATTTCTGTATTTATACACATCACAAAATAAAATCCAGTAAATGAATGAGTGAATGAGTGAATAAATGAATGAATGATTGAATAAATAAATGAATGAATGAATAAATGAAAAAATGGATAGATTAATTAAAAAATGAGTGAATAAATTTTTCATAATATATTTTATATATATATATATATATACCTAAACATTTTGGAATTAAAGAAAGAGCTAATAAACAAAACAGACTGAATGAATGAATGAATAAATGAATGAATGAATGAATGAATGAATGAATGAATGAATGAATGAATGAATGAATGAATGAATGAATGAATGAATGAATGAATGAATGAATGAATGAATGAATGAATGAATGAATGAATGAATAAATGAATGAATGAATGAATGAATGAATGAATGAATGAATGAATGAATGAATGAATGAATGAACGAATGAATGAATGAGTGAATGAATGAATGAAATAAACGAATAAACGGTTGAATGAGTATCAAAAAATGCAATGAAATAAATAAATAGATTAATGGATGATTGATTGAAAAAAAATGAATGAACGAACGACAGATTGAAAAACATGAATTAAAGTGGTAAAGGTTTCGTATGATTAATGAAATGTATGAACGGTTAATTGAACAAAATGAATGTGCAAGTGAACGAATGAACTAATGATTGATTGAACTAATGAATGAATAGATGAATGAAAAAATGAATGAAGAAATGAAAACACAAATGAATGAACAAATGAATGAACAAATTAAATGAACCGTAGTATAAGAAATAAATAAAAATTTGACATAGAACACAAAATGATGTTCTTTCTTTTCTTTGGAATAAAATTTTACATCAACATTTCCATCATTAGCTTCAAAATTGTCATCATCATCCTTCTCTTCCTCCTCATTAGCTACCACCACAGTCATCATCATCATCACCTCACCATCATCATCACCTCACCATCATCATCATAATCGTCGTCATCATCATCATCATCATCATGAACTTCGCCACAAGATTATACATTAAGGGTGTTTCATTTAAGTAAAAGTGTCTTAAAATAATAAGAATAATATTTTCACAAATAACAATAAAAAAATAATAACAATAGTAGAAATAATATTTAAAACAAATAATAATTTTTAGCCATTTTTCATATTATCAAATTAAATAATGGTAAAATCGTTTGTGATGAAAACATTATCAATATTAACCCATTTCTATATATATGTATAAGTATATATATATATATATATATATATATATATATATATATATATATATATAGGTATATATATATATAAGTGTGTGTGTGTGTTTATACAATATATATGTATTCGTATAAATATTAATATGAAATGTACTCACAATTGTTTATAATTCCAAATTGTCAGTGATAACGTTTACAAAATTTTCATTCAAAAATATTAACAAATAATCTTTCTCTTTGAAAATAAAGTCTTCCTAGCAGTTAGAAAATAATTTCAATTTAATCACATTCGACGCCTTCATCGGTTATTACAGCAGTATCCGTGATATTCGATTTTATCCGTTTCACCCAAATATCGCTAGCCCCGTCGGTATCGACACAACCCTGATTCGGTAGGAATGGTGTTAGAGATGGAGTTTCAGGTGGCGTATCGAGACAGGACGGATCTTGTTTAATGTAGAAATTGTTAAGTGGCGATGGGAGTTTATCGATCGGATAGTCGGCATCGTTGTTGTCGGTATTGACGATGGTTTTCGATGATGTGCTTGCTAGAGCTTTGCCGGTATTGACGATTAGTTGGTTATTGTTGTTGATGTGATTGTCATCGCCATTGTTGTTGTTGTTATTGTTATAATGTAGGGATGTGTTGATAGCAAGAATGTGTTGTCGGTTGTCGGTCGGATTTGGAGTTTCGAATTTGACAATTTTCATACGACGCCGTTCTGTTGAATAATTTATGCGCAACTTCGTCAGAATCATCCCTTCTTGGAAATACATTTGTTAGAGGAATAAAAGAACACTTCAACGGCATACGCTGCACTCATATGTTGCACTCACGCAAACGCACACACACACGCACACACATACACGCAAACACACGAATACTTATACATATATATATACACAAGCACACACGCCCACATACACAATATAGATTCAGATTAAAATGCGGAAACCTAAACAAGTTGTCTTACCTCGCATACAGTTTTACAACCACACATAAACTTGCAAACATACAAACACAGACACATTCACATACATTCGCACACACCAAAAAATATTTTTGTAAATAAACAACTCACACACACACACAAGAGTATGTATGAATATATACAAAAGTGTAAATGCATTTCAGAAACCTGGAAAAAAATTGAAAGGAATTAAAATGCACGTACGATTGCATACAAAATCATACACATATACAAACACACATACATCAATACACATCCACAAATACATACAGAAACACACACACAATCATGTTTACACACACACATCTACAAGTTCAACAGTCCTGGTTAAATCAATAATAAAATCAAAATTAAACACACACACACACACACACACATAGATGCCCACACACACACATAAACGCACACACACACACACACACGCACAGAAATATAAGTTGCAGCATTCATTGAAACCTAATAATCCTCCGTCCCAACTCAACCGCCAGCGAGCCTTGGGTATTAAATTATGTTCAAGTAGCCAATACCATATTTATTCCAACTTCTGTTTATACACACACACACACACACACACACACACACACACACACACACACACACACGCTCACACAGCACACACATACAAAACAAATACGGAAACATACATGCACACAAACATACACACACATACAAATACACACACACAAACAAACACATACAATCATGTATGTATTAATATTTGTGTGATTATAAAGAAATATTTATTTTTTGAACGAGTAGTGAGTATTGTTACAGATTTAAATCTTAAAAATACAAACAAACAAACGAAAATACAAACAAACATACATACAAACAAACAAATAAACATACATACAAACAAACAAACAAACTTACATACAAACATACATACACACAAAGTATCAACAAGTGTACTTTTGTTTTTTTCAGTAACAATTTATTCTTCTGCCCACTAGAAGCCTGATGCAGTTATTTATTTAATGATGCGTTCTGCTGCAACTGTATTGAAGCTGCAGTGATTGCCATGATGACACGACGATGATGATGAAGATGAGGACGATGATGAAGATGACGACGATGATGATGGTGATGACGATGATGATGAAGACGATGATGAAGACGATGACCACGAAGATGATGACAACGATAATTATCAAAATGATTAGAGTGATGACAGCGCTGATGACATCAACTTAATGATGACGAAGATTTATTTATACCACTTCTACTACTACTACTACTACTACTACTACTACTACTACTACTACTACTACTACTACTCATACTATTATTACAACAACAACAACTGCTACTACTACTACTACTACTGATACTACATACGATGACTACTACTACTACTTCAACTATTACTACAACAACAACAACTACTACTACTACTACTACTACTACTACGACGACGACGACGACACTCCTGTTTGTGTTACTGCCCATTTTAAAATAAATAGCTTCTAGAACGTTCAGTGGTGTGCAGTGTCGACAACGATGTTTGTGGCGGCAATATCTATGTAAATATTGATTTGAATATCAAGCTCTTTATTTATACGCGCTTATTTATACGTTTGTGTGTATTTATTCATGTGTGTATATATATGTGTTTCTATCTGTAAATATGTGTGTACGTGTATGTGTGCGTGTGTGTACGAACGTATGTGTGTGTACGTATGTATATGTGATTGTATGTGTGGTAGGAAGTATGAGTATGTTATGAGTATGAATATGTTTGTTTCTGTATGTGTTTTTGTATGTATGTACGCGTGTAGGTCTTAACATTATGATCATTATAATCGTCATTGTCATCATCATCATCATCGTCATTATCATCATCATCATCGGCTCGAAATGTCGTATAATATCCAAATTATCTGAAATGAAAAAGTTGCATTAGAAGCAGCATGGCAGATGATGATAATGATTTCTATAACGATGAATAATGATAATGATGACGGTAGGAAAGACGACGATGATGATGATGATAGCAGTGACAATGAAGACGATGATGAAAGTGATGAAGGTTAGGAGGAAGATGATGATATACGGTGGTGGTGATGATGATGACGAAAATGATGATGCTGGAAAAGATTATAACATGAAAACAGATACGATGATAACCATTAAAAATATAATACAATGACGAAAGAGATTTAACTGATTAAGAAGATGATACAAAGTGGACGAAAGTGTGTAAGATAATGATACAAAATGGACGCAAATGATAAAGAAGATGATAAAAAATGATGGAGATGATGATACAAAATGGATGCAAATGATGAAGAAGATGATACAAAATGATGGAGAAGATGATACAAAATGGATGCAAGTGATGAAGAAGATGATACAAGTTGATAGAGAAGATGATACAAAATGGACGCAGATGATGAAGAAGAGGATACAAAATGATAGAGATGATGATACAAAGTGGATGCAAATGATGAAGATTAGGTTCCAAAATAGACAAAATGGGCAAATGATAATAGCAATGATGAGAAAGTTTAATGACATACTTCAAAAAATGTATTCTCCCTTTTTTTTTCGAATTTGAGAAGAGGAAAAATTTATCTGAAAAGTGAGACGCTGTTAATAATTGCTGCTTCTTTCAGCCAATCATTCAGACGAATTTAATTATTTTTATCTTTTATTTAAATTTTATATCTTAGGTCATTTTATTTATTTATTTATTAATTTATATTATTTATTTTGAATTCTATTAGCTTAATTATTGTTCTCAAATGATATCCTGTGTTGTTTCATACAATGCAATGCAGTGTAATATTTATAGACACACACATATATACATACACACATATAAATACATACAAATACATATACGTACACAAATACACACAAACACACATACACATACAAACATATAAAAACAAATGCGTTTTTTTTGTGAAAAATAATAGAATGAACTAAACAAATGACTCACTTGAAATTTTAATGATTCAAAAATACATATCCACACACCTACACAAACAAATGCAACCACACATACACATAAATACACATACACATTGTCACACACACACACACAAACACACACAATTTATATAAAGATAATTAGTCAAAAATAACAAACGAAATAGCCAAGGGCAAAAATGAAATGAGACGAAAAGCTAAAACCAAGCAAGTGAAGGAATAAAGATATATTTCAGTAGAAAGAAGAGGAAAGTATTGAGAAATGTATGTGGTAGCAGGGGTTGCAGCTACGTGGAATGGACTCTAGAAGGAGAAATAAATTTGTGCTAATAAAAGTTCACCGAACCTTCAATAATTTGTCAAATTTGTTTGAGGTAATGAAACAATAGCGAGTCAGCAAAAAATGTAGAAAAATTTAACAATTATTCACATAAGAATGAAAAAAGTAAAAGAAAAAAAACCAAGTAAATAAACCATTAGCAAGCAAGTTAGCTCAGACGGTAGAAGTGCCATGTCTCGTGTTGTTTCTGCGCAATGACCTGGTTCAAAAAGCTGTCTGCCCGAAACTCAAAGATTTATCAAACGCTTGAGGTTCCGACACGGTGCATGCGTGGATGTGCGCGGGCATACAAAATAAGCACGTAGGTCGTGTGGTGTCGTGTGGTGTGTTGTCGTGTGGTGTCGTGTGATGTCGTGTGGTGCCGTGTGGTGTGGTGTCGTGTGGATATTGCGGTCGTTGTGGCAAAAAGTTTAGCTGTGAATAAGTAAGGAACAACGTGTTAGTAGATTTTACTTTTAATAATAAAGCACACGAATTATGTATCGAATGAAATGACGGGAAAAAGCTATGATGAATGAACTCGCATCACAAAAACATCCACACACGCACACACACTTACACAAACAGAGAAAAAGAAAGAGAAAGAAAGAAAGACAGAGAAAGAAAGAAAAAGAGAGAAAAAAAGAAAGTGTAAAAGCCAGTGATGTTGATGACGAAATTGCATTCCAGAGATTGTGAGGACAGCAGAGGAACTGTCTGAAATAATCATTATATGACTAGTCATGTTTGTTGGAGAGAGTGTATTTTGTATGTATGTATGTGTATGTGTATCTGTGTATGTATGTGTGTATGTGTGTGTGTGTTATGAGAAAAAGGATGAGTTTACTTACTGTGTAAATTTGTATTCTCGTACGTCTCGTTTTGTATAATTCTCTATTTCTCTCTCTTTTCTCTCTTTTTTTTGTTTCTCTATCTCTCTCTTTCTCTTTCTGTTTTTTGTTTTTACTTTTATGTTATTTGTTCAGTTGTTTATTAATACTTTTAACCTTACTAAACATTCTGACACACATTTTTTTGTTGGTTTTCAGCCCATGTATATTTCGTGGAATAGAATTAATTCATAATTGTAGGTGCTTGGTGCTCCAGCCTGATGAATTTTTATGGCAGATATATGCAAAGTAGAATTTTATAGCGTTGGAGATATTAACGCTAGTGTTCATCATTATCGTAATCATCTTCATCGTCATCGTCATTTTTTAATCATCATCATCA